TCTAGATTTTTTTCAACACATTCGCGCTGAGTATCTGTTTTAGACACGATATAGAAGCGTATAGGAGCTATTTGTAGAAGCACGTAAATTTATAAAACTTGGTACGGAACTCATAGAAATGTAAACAAAATTTGTACATATTATTAAAATCTTTAAAAAATATCTGATAACTTGGTGTGTATATCTCTAAGGATCATTTATGATCGCCAAATTCCATTTTATGTTAACTTTCTTCATTAGATCACCAAACCTGCTTGCCTAAAAATTTTATCAATTCTTCATTTCGTCAATATAAATAAAATATTCTTTGAATCATTCAAATCCGTTCCGTTATCTTAAAACCTGAATTACCCATTTTTGGTACTTTTTGCCCCGTATATTCAAAACGCATTGACCTACCAAAAGCTTTTTAAACATTAATAGTTTCAAGTAGAGAAAAATGTAACCATCTATCGCCTTAAATCGGTCGGCTCTATATCTGAAGATAACCACATTTACTCTTTACAAAGCGTATATTGTTTTCCATTATTAAAATATTGACCTCAACGGACTTGTAAATCACTAATACCAATAATTAGAGGTATTAGGGCTCAGTATTTTTTTTTAAATCTGTACTATATGATCCGACAAAAATTCTGCAAGTTTTTAAAATCTCTGTTTTTTATTATTCTGTTAAAGTGTCAGACTTTTATTTATGCATGAAATGAAAAATATCGCAAAAGTAGGTATATTTGAAAAAAAAAAACAAAAGTTTCAATTACAATTTCAAACTTTACGAGACATTACCCCCAAATATAATTAATACACATTGTCACAAATTACAAAGTGTTCTTAATGGTCAAACTTGCCAAAGTACTACAAACATTTGTACTAAAGTTTTGACTTATGATCTTAACGTTGGAGAACTGCGCCAGGCGTGCTTGTAATATGATTCAAATGTTTCTTGCTTAAGTAACGAATGTAAATGTACAGATATTCAATAGTGATCTGAAGGGAACTAAAATTATAATTTCTGAAAAAATATGTTAAATATAAAAATTTTGGCTATTGTATTGAATCAGTTTTGAATTTTTCCAAACATTACAAACATCGGTTCCCATGTTTGTTCCGGTTCCGTTCGAAAATGAAAGAAACCAAAATCATTACAAAATCCATTTTGTGCATATATATGTATGTTTGTTACAATTATAGGAACGTTTAATAAAAAATAAATAAATTATAAATTATAAAAATTACTTATCATTTTCTGTATGTAGCGATTTTTTTTAATTTTTTTTTTTGCCGGAACGCATTGGCTCGACAACACCACTGATTTTAATATGGAAATAACGAAAGAGAAACTTCGTTATTGGTTTTATGGAAGTGGAAGTTTTGCATCTATTTTCTACCCGTCTAAATAAAATTCTTCTTAGAAGAATTAAAGTCGCTATATAGATTGATGTACAAAATCGAGCATTGAAGTTATTGAATTGAATGGTATCTTGTGGATGCATACAAGCAAGGATTTAATTAATTTAAATCAGGAGCGATTTTTTGATAAAATAGAAATGTTATGATTATGTTATGTTACGCATCTATAATCATATGGGTTAACAGCCAGAACTTTGTAGGTATTTGCTGTGAGATTAAATGTTTTACTTCACCTCAAAGCACAAATGACCAATTGACAAATAATAATTTTATCATAAGTGCAACTTTTCGATGTCTCTCTGATAACACATAGGTGAAATTAGGTTTTATGTATAAAACGCCTGATCGCACAACAAATACACTATAGACTTCTAACATAGCATTACTATAACATTTCTATTTTATCCGAGAATTGGCCCCCAGATCTATATGATTTGGGCAATACATTTCATGTATTCTTTGTTGTTTTGTGATTTGTTGCAAGAGGAAATTTTAGCAATTTATCTTGCTATATATAATTCTTCAAAGAACTGAAAGATATGTTGAAACATCGTAATTGATTTCATATATTATAAATTTATGTTTATAAAAAAAATGTGAGTTGTGATTAAGTATGCCTAACTTACAGAAGTTTGTGTTTGAAACAAAATGTTTCTCGAGATTCATATCAAATTTTTGAATACATTTCCTACATTACCATTGGAAAATTAATAATAATGGATCGAATGTATAGAGTTCCACCACGGCATTGTGAATGTACACAGTAGTACACCCCTTTACCGTACATCAGAATCATAGCTCGTACTTCGTAGGCCTCGAAGCAGAATTTCGTCTAGTGGCGCGTTGGACTGTACTAGCCGTCGTGTTAGAGCAGGCGATGCTGATTGGGAGAGATTGTCATCCGTGTGTGAAGTGCTTCCTGGGCCCCAACCCCCAACCCCCCCAACTTGGTGGTCGTACACCAGAGGCGATGGCCACCCGCCGCCCACTGGAAACTCCTTGCCCGGCACACGATGCTGCCGGTCCAGTGGGAAACGCGTGCTTCACGATTGCTAAGCGTAGATAGCGCGAGCATTTTGCATATACAGCGTAGCGGTAGAGTCGTAGAGTATAGTGAGGGAGATAGATTGGCGCAGGATTCAAATTATTTATTGCTTCCGAAATTACTAAATGGATAAAGCGAATGTTCATTGTTTGATTAAACAAATTTAATTACCAAAAATATGTAATTTAAATTTTTGTCTATATTCACTTACTAAATATTAGTATCATATACATATTGATTGCACAAAATGTCGTTGCCAACTTATTATAATCTAATGATTATGTTCCAAAAATCGAAAAATAATTTGATAATAGTACCATAACGGCTTATTGGAATGATATCAAGAATCAGCAAATATATGTCGTGGGTAATTCATGATATACTATTCGTCGAGCTAGATTCGATTTTGCATTAAGTGTGCTTGAATTTAAAGAATTCATATTAAAATTTAATGCATAAAAAAAAGATCCAGATCGTAAGGTTCTGACTTTTATTTGCACTTTTGCTTCGTATTTTCGAAAAGGCTGGACCAGTCTTAGCAAAAAACGAAACAAAATCAATGGGAATCAAACATGCATACATACACATTTTGAGGTACACCAAAATGTTCAGAAAAAATTGAAACCTGAAGATAAGAAAAAATATCATTTTTGACTCATTTGCGATTATTATAACACCCTACGCAAAGTTATTAATTATATTTAAATAATTTTTTAAAAAAAAGTTTAATTAAAAAAGCAAAATTTTGTCTATTAAAAGGGGCACTTGAACAGATAGGGCATAGGGCGACAGAGAGCCTAATCCGCCACTGCATATAAGGTGTATTTTGTGTAATAAATTTTATATTGAATAGTGCGTCTCGTAGAGAGTAGAGCGGGGCTTAAAGGTTTACCACCATAATCTCAAAAACAAGTGAATTATAGATTTTTTAAACGGTACTACTTTAAATGGTACTTCTTTCAAGTAGGTTAAACAGCCATCACCTTGATGCAACATCGTTATCGTTATCATGAGATAAACGGCCATTATCAATATTTATAACATAAGTGTTTTTATTCGTTGGTAGTATTTTTTTAGTTTCAAGCACTGTTTTTCAGTTTATGTTATGCGAATGTATTTTTTAACTTGTTATTTAATTATTTTATAAGATGCATTAGTGTTTTTGAGTTAGATTCAACATCTTTTTAAAAGCTTACATGTGGTTGGGGTACAAAAACCAACTAAACCTTTACAACTGCAATAATGTTAAAAATGAATTTTATAAGAGATATATTATGTTAGTAGTTATTCCAATTTCCAAACACTGATAAATATTTGACATACTAAATCAAGGTTATATACAGTGTGGTCTTTCTAAAAAATTTGCCCATACAATTTTATTTCGAGTTGGTTAAGTAATATAGATATCATTTTGTAAAATCTCTTCAAAATGAAAATAAGGCATTAGATCTGTTCTATCCTAGACCTTTTTGCTCTGTCTGTGGGGTGAAAAGGGGCAGATGACAAATGACAAATTTTAGAAAAAATGTGAAAAACTACATATCTATAATTAGGAATTATTTGGATATTTTACTGAACATAGTTGGATGGTTGTTTGTTTGATACGTATTATGTGTTGTGATGTAGTTTTTTGGTTTAAAAGGTATAATTACTAAAAATCAAATTGTACCTATGTGCCCCACCCTACCCTAGTACAAATCTATGAAAATAAAATACAAAACTACCAACTTGTAATTAACTATATCTAAAGACAAAATTCAATCAAATGAACAAAATGAAAATTGCGGCACCGAGGATAAGTTTTATTTTTTGAATAAATATTGTATCATGATTTAATCGGTGTTAGAAATAATTAGCAGTATCAATTTGCTGAAGAAATTATGCCAATTTATGTTCAACATGAGTTTCTTATATTTTGAATGTTGTATCATTATCAACGACTCTTTTTCCCAAAGGGTTGCTATCCAGTTATATGTATATGTGTTCCACTCACTGGACGGAATATCTAAATTTCACAGTATCTACAGAAACTGCTAAGGAAATATTTAACTTTGTCGAAAACCTATTGATGTTAGTGTTTGTGTTGTGTGTTGTGCGACGTCAAATGCCTGAGAAAGGGATTCTCATTCTGCAAGTACATACTTACTTAAGAAACTACATTATATCATAAGGTCAACGAGTAGCGCGTACAATTTATTTTATAAAGTTCCTCATTGCTATCAAACGGTCCATACCATTTTTATATAGTAGGAGTTAGAAAGAAGAGATTCAAAAAAACTTTCACTTTTGTTCGCCCCAGTAAAAGTTTTCCGGGAGTGCGGTGGCGAGGTTCTGTCGGTAATCGTTTCTGCAAGGCCATAATGTGCATGCGGCGTTACGGGGAACTGTAATTGAATTCTTTGCTGCGTTTATATTTGCATATTCTGATATATTATTTTAATCAAGTCATAATTGAATACTATTATGAATGTTAATGAGAAAACAATAGTTTTAAAAAAATAATATCAATTTTTATATCGCTAATTGAACCGCTTTTCATAGGCCTCTAATATTTTACCACGTCCAGATTGGGCATTAAATCTACCATTATGCCAAATTTCATCAAAATCCAAGACCAGCTATGCGCGTGTTCTTTAAGAGATAATGGTGATAAACCTTCAGCCTGCGGACTTTTAAGCCCTGCTCTACACTATGTATAGTTTCTCAATATTGTAACTAACTCAACATTTGCATACTTCATATTTTTTTCAAATTGACCTAATCACTTGAAATAAATTATAGCCATAGATAATTATCTATTAAGGGATCTTCTCAATGGAGAAGATTCTTAAATGACATAACGACACATCACAATGACTTATAGAAAATTATTGTATTATCTGATTGTCTAATAAATAAAAAAAAACAAAAATAAATATCTTTAAATTACTAAAATGTATTAGAAATCATTGCCTTATCATGATGGGTATTTGTATCACATATAAAACCTATTTGAAATCCCTTTTATATATTTACAAGTACGAGAAGTACGAATATATGTTTAAATATGTTGATAGAATCATATTAAAATAATTATCATCATCATTATCATTATCATCATCATTATCATTATCAAATCATTGGCAATTATAAATTATTTCTTATAATTTTATAATTCAAACTCTTCCGCATTATGTGATCAAATAAACTAAAATTTGCATATTTGGCAGCCTCGCTGAATACGAAAATTAAAAGTATTATATATTGTGCTAGGTCTTATAAAACTTGAAACATTAAAGACTAATTGCGCGATTAACTTTTTGGGAAATTAAAAGCCGTTTGAACGAGCGAATGAAACACATTCATGCAATTATTTCACAAGTTAAGTAATGAATGGTTAAAAGTTTTTGTTAACATAAGTTTAAAAGCTTTTCGACAGACGGTTTTTATATCTTCCGAAATAATAGTGATACTTTTTAACCAGATAAAAATATGAGTTTCTATTGTAAAACTTTATTTGTGATGAAAATAAGCATTCATTATATTATCTATGAGTAAAATAAATAGTGTTTTTGGATGCATTTAGAAATGAATTTAGGTTAATTTTAATATATCGATTGAAGCTTATTAATATAACATATAAATAGGCGATTTCAAGTAGGGTAGGTCAGGTCAAAAAGGTTCAATTTGACTTTGAGCAGTTATATTGTGAAAACAAGGCCTATTATATCACAACAAATAACACATATCAAGCAAACAACTATCTGACTATGTTCAGTAGAACTCTCATCATTTCATCATTGAATTTCTAAACAAGGTTATAAAAATCACCCTGAATTGTGATTTCAGTGTGATTAAACAATAAACAGTGTCAAACTTTTTCATAAATAGAACATCATTCATTTAAACTCTATAGTTACTCAGCTTCTTGAAACACTAATTTCAAGAAGACTAAAAAAGAAGCTGCCCAACGCTAATATTTACGACCTTTACCATATCCTTGCACATATAAAAAGTATTGCTCATTTCACTCATTATCAAAATAATATATATATGTTGTTTTGAAAGTCTGTATGAATGTGTGTGAGTGAATGATATAAGCCAAATAGCACATAGAATTGTACTGTATTCTGATTGCTATTGAAAAGACAATAAAGAAGAAAAACAAATTCTCATTGTAGAAAGGTGTTTTTAGTTTTCTTTTTTTTTCAAAAATTGTAACCTGCATTTTTTTACCCCATGGGCGCGGTAAATTGGGGCGGCTAGGGGGTACACAGGTTTTATGTCTTATTTTAATTTCGAAGGGATTTTTCTAGCTATATTTCATGGCTGCATTTTTTACAGTGATAACACTGTAAATAATCTTGATCTGGTATTTTGTACGATGTATTCTTAGGCAGAGATCGAATAAGTACTAATTTAATTTATCTCTTGTAAACATAGTTTTTACTACTTTTTTATTTACTATTTTATATTGTTTGCCCTTTGCTAATGTAAAGATTTAGTTGGTCATTTTTAACCCTGCCACATGATAGTTTTTATAGAGGTTATACAAAGAAAACTGTTGAATCTAACTTAAAAATATCCATTCATCTTACAAAACTAATAAATAATGTATACCTAAAAATTAGTGTATTTAGTGTATGATTCAGGTATCATACACTAAATACAAGAGCTCGAAACCAAAAAAACTACCGAAAAAAACACTTTTCGCATCAATATTGAAACATTTTTGTTTATCTCGTGATAACGATGTCATAAGAATTGAGGTGATGGCTGAATACACATCTTTTGCCTTCTACTTCAGAATAGTATCGTTGAAAAAATCTATATTCGAGATAATGGTGATAGATGGTAATGACATACAAATTAGCTGTAGCAATGGCTCAATTAGACCCGTATGAAAGCTCTAACCAATAATAACAATAATGCTTTAGAATATATTTTAAGATAAAAGTAAAAAAGCATTTATAAATATATGATTTATTAAATTGGAAAACTTTTCCACGACAGAAATTTAATATTAATTATTCTACTCGATTCCGGAGTCCGTCGTTACCTTGGCGCGTGTACATCTCGTGTGCCGGATGCTTCATCGATTGAAATTCTGTAAACCCCTTTCGCTTTCATTCTCTCTCTGTCGGACTAAAGCCGGTCTTACACTGTTGGCGGTTGGGTCAGCATTGTCCAGCTACCGGACGACTGTACCACCCACTTTATACTTTCTGCACGGGGCGCAAGCGGGAAAGGCGGCATGGGCGGCATGGGCGCCCACTCACGAGTAGTGTTAGAACGAAATATCGAGTACTGAGTAAATATCGATACTTTGCGGTCGATAGTGAATACTTTTGCTATCGATTTTTTAGCTCGATCTATTTGCCAATATCGATTCTTTTCGTCGATAGTACTCAAAAAGAATCGACAGCGTAATCTATTAACACCACTCATTGCCGTTTGGCAATGCAATAGTCTTCCTAGGTGGTCACAATTGTTCAAGGAAGTGTCAAAAAATGATTCCGAAGTGTCATTAGTCTCAGAATTTATTGCTCAAAAATCCAAAATGAATATGACCACACTAATAAATAAAGATGTTTATTTATTACTCTTATGTAAAATGAAATGTTTTTTTTTTCATAATATTCATCAATTTCAATATATTAGTATTTTGCGTTTATTATATTTCGATTCTTTTTTACGCAAAATACTAATATATTGAAATAGATGAGTATTATTATTCGAAATAATATATTTCGATTCTTTTTTACGAAAAATACTAATATAATGGACGGATGAGTATTATTATTCGAAATAATATTCTTCGATTCTTTTTTACGCAAAATACTAATATAATGGAATGGATGAGTATTATTATTTAAAATAATTATATTTCGATTCTTTTTTTACTCAGAATACTCATGTATTGAAATTTTTGAATATCAACATGCAAACATATGAGTTTGAGTTTCTCGGAACCATTTAAACTTTAAATCCCATCGCTCCGAAGGGATGTTTCTCTACAAATGTCGAAATATTATCTTGACCGTCATTAAACTGAATGCTTATTGCTTTCCAAAAAGCTTCATATTGCACTTTTTTGTAATTTAACAATTATAAAATATTATTTTACTTAAAAATGTTAAAAATATTATTGTACTTAAAAAGACTTAAAAAGTATTGCTTTTTGAATATACTATCAGACTATTATAATGTTTTAATAAAAAATACCCAACTATTATAACTTGTCTTTTTTTTGAAAAATTATAGAATTTGAAATTAGTATTGAAAAATTACTGTTAAAATTTTACAATATTGAAAATGATTCTGATTTAACACATCAGATACAAGCAATAGAATTCATTTTAATATTGTGATATGATATCAAAATTCGATATTGAGTACTATCGATACTTTCGTCACGATATTTTTTTAGCATCGATATTTTGATTAGATACTTTTTAAAGTACTCAATATCGATCTTTTGCCTCGATACTTCTAACACTAGGCATGGGCGGCATGGGCACCCACTCACGAGATTGTCCACTGGCGTCCGAACAGTAGCCGCACTCGTTCCACTGGCCGCATCTGGACGCGCGTATGCAGATCAAGCAAGATCGTAAGAACTCGCGCCGCCTGACTCTTCTCTCTACTCTACTCGGTCAGCGCTGCAAATGGGAAAACGACGTTTCGTGAAACAAAAGTTGTATTTATAATCGAAATTTATCGGGATTGCTTTAATAATGATAAACGTTTGAAATAATTTGTCTGGCTGCGTATTTGATAGTCATTTCATTCTGTCGCATCAATTGAAGATTGGATCGTATTTTTTTAACTTCCCGTAGGGCAAGTTATAGTAATCGCAAAAAAATCGAAAATGAAAATTTTTGCATTTCTCGACGTTTCAAAGGTTTCTGAATATTTTGGCATACCTTAGAAAAAATGGATGTATGTGTGTGTGTGTGTGTGTATGTATGTATGTGTGTGTATGTATGTGCGGATACAAATTTTCGTCGACGATTTCGGGAACACCGATCAACCGATTTGATTAATTCAAAGAACATTCGATTCGTATTGATAAGGAGACGTGCTGATTAGTTTTTGGCAAAGGCAGGTCTAGCCGTTCCGAAGATACGGGGCAAAAAGTGCCAAAAACGGTAACTCAGTTTTTAAGAAAACGGAGCGTCCGATTTTAATAATTCAAAAAACATTTTACTTGTATTGACAAGGTGAAGAACCGATCAAATTTTCATAAAGACAAGTCTAGCGGTTTCGGAGATCTAATGAAAAAAGTAAAAAAAAATGCCATTTGGCGGTCAAAAATGATCATTAGACATATGCACATCAAATTATCAGATATTTTTTAGAGATTTTAACAATAAGTATAAATTTGGTTTACATTCCTATGGGTTCCGTACCAATGTTTACGCGTTAGACGGCGACGCGGCGCTTACGCGCTTTGATAGTTCGTCTTTATGAAGTTAAAGCAGTACGATTGCTTTGAAAAAAAGTTTAGATCTTCCAAAATATGTCAAAATGAAGAAAAAAATTTAACTAGCTGTAAGTGGAATTCTGTCTTAAGGCAATTAAGGCATCGTGCCTTAAGGCAAATTGCTGAAACTTCCCGTACCAAAAATTATTATTTTTTTAAAAACGATTGACATTTTTTAAAAAAAATTAGTTCGAAAAAATACGATTTTTAAGAAACTATAAATT